AGCCTTTAACTTTATGTAAAATCTTCCGCTACCCAATTTGACTACAGTTAAAGTTTTCTACAGCAGACAACTTTGGTACTATGTATTTGGTGTGCACTACAAACATCGGAGGCAATGATGTCCATATTATGCATACTTATCATGAAAGAATGGCTAAACGTGGTCAAAATAAAGTGACTTCCATTTTATTTCATTACCTAAAAGATAATATACCCATATGATGGTATGGTATGGTATAGTATGATTTCTGGATAAAATATGGTTTTTCTCTTATGGTTGCCAGGATCAGAACAAAAGCTACGCATGTATCCGCTTTATTTTACTGCTTTTACATCTTTTTTTAATACACCCAGAGTATGTTATTTTATTTACGTTTAAACTTTTGTATGACATTTAACTATTTAATAGCTATTTTCGATAAACGGTTCATTTTTAATAGACTTAAAGTAATATTGTAATCATAGATGTGATGACGAGAAAAGATAGATACAAAAATGGACCACAAGGTTGACAATGTTTCAGATTTTCTATGTGATTGTTTACAAGAGTGCAGACGTTATAATTTTAATTAAACGTTATTTTTCTATTTATATTTTGTTTCATTTCTGTTTACCCACGTCTATTAGCTACATTTTAATTAAGTATCTCTTTCAGCAGAGAAGAAATAGTAAATGGTGTATTAAATATGGAACCAAATTTTTGTGCTACTTTAAATATTGGAAAAGATTTAAAGCAGCGCATTCCTTAAATATGATATTGGGGTGATAAAGTTCATTGGAGCGAAGAGGATTAACTCGTGTAATCAGGTATCACTTTACCCCGCCCAAATGCTTCAGGACTATCCACTTCCCCTTGATAGCAATCTAGTGCGCTATAAAGGCTTTCTTATCAGCACAGTGCTTGTCATGTGAGAGTTCTGGGTATACGGCCACCCACACGAAATCCTATCCCGAACAATACAGGTCAGCTTTCCCTATGGTCTGTTTTTAAACCAGGAGGAGTAATTCAAATTTTCCGCGCCATAATGCTTGTTTGTAATTGGTCGAATCGCAGGCAAGTTTACTCCACTAAATTATGACATATTGACACTAATGACATTTGTGAAATTTTAAAATTCAAAATTTATATTGACAATTTTTTGTATTTTCTGTGTTATTTCTTACATCTTTAGATTTTTCGTTTGCATTTATATAAAAAACAGTTCTTTTCAGAACTATTTAGCGACATATTAGTGTTATTAAGATAACAATATGGATTCAATGCCAAGTACTAGTGGTAATTATTCTTCTCCATCTTAGAAACGCCGTGTAGATTTAAATCATTTATCATCAAATGAGAAATAATGTACTATAAACATGTACAAACATGAAAATCGATAATTCTGGAATAAAAATAACAGCCACGGTAGTAAAAATAAAACAGGCAGCAGGTTAGTTTTACAGAATAGTTAGTATTAAAATCAAGACTTACTAAAGTAATGTGCTAATTTTAGTTGTTGCGAATTCAACTATTTACAACAATAGAATTTAGAACAATTAAAGAATATAAGCAGACTAGAGCAGTAAAATGTTCTAAAAATATTGAAGGTCGACCTTATATTCTTGCAACATAGGATGAAAGAGTTAAAACATCTATACGACAGATAGTACACAGCTTCTTTTTTAAGAATGAAATGCTCACTTTAGGTAAAATTTTAAGTGAAATTAACAACCGCTCAGATCTTCCAAAATATGTGTCGTTCATTATTATATAAATTCTTGAAGCAAATCAATTTGAAGTAAGTACAAATATCGGTATGTAAATATGGGTTAGCTACAATTATATAGTAAAATTAACTAAAACATTTTATAGATTTCATTTTTATAATCAGGTATATTAATTATTGTTACTATTAAATATTAAGTTTTAAGTTTTTATTTGTATACTCTACTGGAATGTTGTCAAGTATTTTGGTTCAACAGATATAAGAACATGGAAAGGGAAGAAAAGAAAAAAAAGGATATTTTTACTTTACATATGCAGATTCAATGCAGCAAATATTACATAGCATAACTATATATTGTTTATCTTACTTTATAGGATGATTGATTTATTGTGTATATTATGAATGTCTTACCATAGTTATTTTTTAGGGGAAATTATTCAAAGAATAGTTTATACATTGGGCTGCTGACCAAAAACAAAACTTTCTTGCTCAAATATCTGAAATAGATACAGTTTTTGCTGAAAAAATAAATCAAGAAATTCAAAATGGTGTAGTTGTTCATTAATCTCACCAAGACATAAATGGAGAGATTCTGGAAGACTAATAAAATTATTAAGTTTTTATTTTTACATTCATTCCGAATATATATTATGCACAGAATATTATATAAATCGATTTCTGACTCTTTAAGTTGGTTTTGTAATAACTTGGACTTGGTGATATGCGATAATAGTATTTAATGATATTTTTCTAGCTGATATATTTAATAAATAGAGTTTACAGTATTTATAAATTTATAAATGTATGATATTTATATCTAATTATCATAAGAAAAACGGCAACTATCTTTTAAATTTGTGTATACTTGTTAAGAAGCATTTTCATTTTGTTTTCATCACAATAAAAGAACATTAGTAATGTTGTGTTTTACTTTGATTGTGTTGATACAGTTGGTTTTGTTCTTCCTGTTGTAGATCATCACAAGAAAACTACAAAATTATACTAGAATGTAACATAATATATTGAATTAGTTGATTATCTCACAGAAATCCAGTATTTTTTAGTAAATTTTATTTATTGATAACAAATGGGACAAACTCACTGTCAAAAGTAAACAAGAATCCAGCATTAAAAAAATTGCAAGTACACATTTATACAAATTTATTGTTTTGCATTTTAGTGCTTCAAATAGATCCTTAAGATATTGATACATAAGTTAAATCTATCTAATGAGGTACTTAACTGATTACCATGCATGAAAAGTAGGACCACACCTATATTTGAACCATAATTTATTCTGTGATATGAAACAGGAAAAAGTCAATTCTAAAGCAGTGAATGGAAAGGAATATGTAAAACAAACTGACTAAAGCAATTCAGGAGATTGGATTATTAAGCTTAAAAGTAATGATCAAAGTCAAAGTTAATTCTTCTGGTAAGGAAAAAAACCTAGATTCAAGAAATTAATCACACCAGAATAAGAATATGGTCTACGCAGTTTAAAAGAACAGTATTTCAGAAATCTTTGAACTCTCTCTAACTTTTTGATACATGCATTTGCATAGCTTTGTTGCATATAAGATCTATTTGCAAATTAAAAGTCAAATTTCTGAGAAAAACCATACTTAGATCTGTAACATTATTGACTCTCTGGATCAAAATATTCTCTACATTAAGTACCATCGACTCAAAAGATCTATAAAACTGGATCACCCAAAGAGAAGATGTATTTGGTGACTTTTCTAGTAACTTTCTTGGGTGTGAATCTGTCTTTTTGGTTTACTCCTCCTGGTTAAAAAACAGAGTTTAGTGACTTATCATCGACCTGTTTTGCTTGATAGGGCCGCGAGTCCCCACTCTGGGCTACGTTCAGTACGGTGACCCTGCGCTCAAGGATGTGGGCCCATCTTGCCCGGTTTTTGCATATTTTTAGTATTTTTTGTGGTTTGCTCCTTTTGTTAGTGTTTTATTAATTTTTTTGGTAACGAAGCCTTTTTTGTGTTGTACGTAGATTTTTTTTATTGCAAATACACTTAACCTATAAACTTGATTCTCTAGAATATAATAGAAATAGAAAGCAGTGGAATACAATAAACCTCTAGTTCTAATATTTATCGATTTTCACAAAGCCTTTGACACAGTTGAGCTAAGCAAAATATTACAGGCGCTTAAAGAATGCAGGCTAGATTATAGATATACCAAATTATTATACAAAATATACCTGCAGGCAACAACCACTGTCAAATTACATACTAACAGTAATCGCATAAAAATAGAACACGGAGTTAGACAAGGAGACCCAATGTCACCTAAACCTTTTAATACAGTGCTAAAACATGCTTTTAAGAATTTGGATTGGATGACAAAGGGAATAAAAATAGCTGAAGATCTAGGTATGGCAAGAGAGATGGTACAGGAACTCGTTGTGGCTAGAGAAAATGTAGGATTAAATATAAGTATTTTGAAAACAAAAATCATGACCAATTTGGTGCCCAACCAGAACATCAGTATTGGTGGGAAAGAAATAGAACTCGTAGATAGATATAAATACCTGGGACATGAAATTATGATTGGCAGAGATAACCAGACTCATGAACTGAAGAGAAGAGTCGGCCTTGGGTGGGCAGCATTTGGAAAACTGAGAGAAACTTTTAAAAGTGAGCTGCCCACATGCCTAAAGAGAAAGGTATTTGATCAGTGCGTCCTCCCAGTCTTGACGTACGGAGCAGAAACACTTACCTTAACTAAAGCAGCAGCTACCAAACTGAGAGTCACGCAGAGAAGAATGGAGCGGTCCATGTTAGGAATAACTCTCCGAGACAGAATAACAAACGAAGACATCAGGAGAAGAACCGGAGTGACTAACATCATCGAGAAGATAGCCAGACTAAAATGTAGATGGACAGGACACATAGCCAGAATGACAGATGGGCGATGGACAAAGAAGTTATTGGAATGGAGGCCAAGGGAAGACAAGAGAAGCGTCGGTCGACCACCTACAAGATGGACTGACGATTTAAGAAGACTCAATAAAAACTGGATAAGAGCGGCGCAAGATAGACGGGGTTGGAAACATGAGGAGGAGGCCTATGTTCAGCAGTGGACTCTTGAGGCTGGATAATAATGATGATAAACTTGATATTCTATAGCATTGTATTTTTATTTCCTAGTACAAGCATTAGACAAATATTGCGAATTGTATGATTTTTACATACAAAGTTCATTCAAGTACAAATAAACAACAAAGTTCAAGTAGGAAGTAAGGTAAATTACTAGATTGAAATAATACACACTCTTATAAAGTTACGTATATTTTATAAATAAACTATAAAGTTTAACGTCTTTGTTTACTTTCAACTTATCTCACACTCTCAACAAACCTCGAACTTAAATGAGAATAATTAATTTTCATCATCAATGGCTATAATTGCGGTTTTTGCGAAGTAATCAAGCATTTTACTCCAAGCTGCTAACTCTTCGTTTGTCATAAACGCAAAAACATCCAATAAAGCCCTTTTCACGTCCTGAAAAATAATTTTAAATTAAATTATAAGAAGATTAAATTAAATACGAATATATGTTGAAAACAATGAAGCAATTATAAAATTGGAAAACATATATTCTTTGCGGTGGAAAATTAGAACAGGCACAACACATTATCCCCAAATTTATATAAACGGCGTTTTCAACCACCGAATAATTCATAAGTATATTTTGGTGCAGCACATAAGAAGCCTAAGGTCTGTTATAGGTAATTTAATAATGCCACTGTACTCAAAAATGTTTGTTCGTTATGTTTGAGTTTATAAAGACCATTACCTTCGTAAATCCCAAATTCTACCCTACATAATACAAAATTATTACAATAAGGATGTGACAGGAGACAAACAAAACCATTCTAAGATCGACTGTATAATTTAGAGTGATCAAGGAACCATAAAATTGTAAAAGAGTTATATCAAAAGCGACATAAGAAGTTAACGTAGATGAGAAGTTAATAGAATATATTTTGGTGTTTTATTATTAATTGTAACAAAACAATGACGGAATATTGGTAATATATTAAGACTTCAACAATTATATTAATAACAGCTTGACATTTAATTAACCTTTACCCTTACCTTTAAAGCCTGTAGATCCACTGATCTTTTTGCATGGTTTCGTCCTATTTTATCAATAATAGCCACTAGAGTATCTACATCATTAAGGCTGCTTACAATAGAACTTATTGAGTACATGACGCCGTTTACATGGGCGTGAAATCTCTTGTTACTAGGAAGGCTCTCGGTAGGTAAGTCTTTAAACGGAAAAGCTAGCTTATGCTTAGGTTCAATTTCGAACAGTCTAAAAATAATACAGTGTTATTGTTTTATCTTAAATGAAAATTAGTATCACCATAAATGGTGTAAACTGTCTTTTTTTTTTCACTTCAAAGATTGGGCTTCAAGCATGTTCAAGAATGAATATTGTTACGAACATGCATTCGAGGTAGCCCATTCGTCGAGAGGACGAGAAGCTTCTAGATGAATCGAGCGCGGGAGAGATCGACCCATCAATCAAACGAATTAGATGTAAACTACTCCAGAATATTCTAGTACATAATAACTTTTATATATATAAGCAGACCTTCTATGAGTTAAGCTTAGTTGATAAGATACTTTCGTGCTGTAAACTTATAAATAAATATATTTATATAAATTAAGAACTGCTTGTATTATTTAATCTCAATATAAATAAATTCAAGAACATTTTCAAAAGATTCGATGAAACATTCAAAACTGTATGTAGAAGATTCGATGAGACTTCACAAATAATTAAAGAAGTATGTACTCAAAACAATGAGAAATTTGAAGAAGTTTCAAGAACATTCGATAAGATACAGAAAAATGTAAACAACGTAGAAATGTAAAACAAGATAAACGACGTACAAGAGAAGATCAAACGATTAGAGATCATGATAACTAACACGAAAGTGATACCACCAGTTAATACAGTACCTTTAGATCAGATAGTGAAAGAAGAATTACTTAGAGACAAAACGACACATCATATGAGACGACAGCCAATTATTGGACAGAAGAAGAAAAGGCAGCTTTCTTGACTGCTGTTTTAGGAGATGCTGAAGAGACAAACGTTACGGAGATGCCCGTCTACAAAGTATAAACAAGAAATAGAATTCAACGAGCAAGTGAGCATTAATGAACTCAGCAGCCTCAACAGCTACAAGATGCTTAAGAAGATGATCCATGTATAAAAAGAGTATTAGATTGGATGCGTCGAAATCCTTCTTAGCAAAACATTAGTGCATGCAGTCCTGAAGTTAAGTGTTACTGGAGCTAATGGAATTGCCTAGTGCTAAAAGATGATCTTCTGTATAGAACCTTTGAAAACGATGATGGTACAGAATCTAAGTTTCAGTTGATTGTACCTAAAAGTAGCGTGTCAGAAGTATTGCGTCAGTTGCATGACGGTGCATCAGGTAGACACTTTGGTATTACGAAGATTCTGCAAAAGGTTCGAGAACGGTTCTATTGGGTGAAGTGTAAAGATGATGTAGGAAGATTGTGCCGGAAATGTGAAGTGTGTGCGACCAGTAATGGTCCAGTTGGTAAAAATAGGGCACCCATGAAACAGTACAATGTTGGTAGTCATATGGAACGAGTAGTAATCGACATTGCAGGTCCACTTCCAGACACGAATGATGGAATGATTCCAGTATCCATGGATTATTTTATGAAATAGATTAAAGCCTATGCGATACCAAATTAAGAAGTTGCTACCGTTGTATAGGTACTTGTTAAAAAATTCTTTAGCCAATTTAGTGTTTCCTTGGAGATCCACTCCGACCAAGTGCGAAACTTTGAGTCAATCCTTTTCCAAAACGTTTGTAAATTGATTTGTGTCAATAAGACCAGAACGACACCCCTGCATCCTTAATCAGCCGCAATGGTCGGGAGGATGAACCAAACGATGGGTAAATACCTGTCCAAAGTTGTATCAGAACATCAAAGAGAATGGGACCAGCACATTCATTTATTCCTAATGGCCTACTGCTCGGCCGTGAATGAAACTACAGACCTACAGTTTGGCTGCAGACCTTTGGAAGAACATGTTGCAAGCGAAGATTACGTCGACCGCCTAAAGTTAAAAATGAACAATATTCATGAACTTGCCCGACAACACATCCAGTTAGCCAGTGACAGAATGAAAGATCAATATGATTCTCGATGCAAGAATGAAAGCTATGAAGTAGGTGCTCTTATTTGGCTTTATATTCCACAACGTCGTCGAAGCTTGTCTCCTACACTGCAAAGACAATAGAAAGGTCCATATGAAATTAAAAAAAAATAAATGACGTAATATACCGAATTAAGAAGTTACTGAAAGAAACCAAAAGTAGTTCACATAAATCGTCTTACACTTAATGCTGGCTTAAATGAAACAGAAGAGGCACAAATCCTTCAACATAAGATCAAAGATGACCAGCGACCAAGCTTTAATGAATTTATGTCAGATTACGCAGAGAGAAAGAGTGCTAGATTCGGCGTGACCACAGAAGTTCAGCAGGATCTTTTTAGTGTTCCGCATAACGTCTCTCTAGCCCACTGTGTTTCCCAAGACCCAAAGACAACGAAAGAAATCTCATCCGCATTTTATAAGAAGTTCGGTCGTTTGGACGAGATTAAAAATGAGTAGCCTAAAGTTGGAAGAGTACTGAGATTAGAAGATGACCTAGATCTTTGCTGTATATGGTGACCAGGAAGTCGTATACAGACAGGGCAAGCTACGAGGATATATGGCGTGCTCTAACTAATTTGAGGAAAGTTGTGTGTAATTAGGAAATCAAAAATTTGGCCTTACCCAAGATAGATAGACCATGCACTAGATAATCTGGATTGGAAAATTGTCAGAAGCATGCTTAAAGTGATCTTCCGAGAAACCTGTGAACGAATTACTGTGTGTTGTATTAATCTAAAGAGATCATATCCTTCAAAGACAGTAGACCGTTATTTCTTTCTGAGGGGTTCATGCTGAGCTGGAGAGTCCTGTAGATTCCGCCATCCTGGGCCTACATATAGAGTTGCATTCGACGTAGCCCATATAACGGTTGCATCTCTCGAGAGTAGGAGAAGCTTCATAGAAAGTATGCTCCGCTTGTGTACTCCTAAGGAGTGACATAAAATTATAAAAGAATCTAATAAAAAGCAGCCCTTTAACTTAACTCTTATAAAGCAGGAAAATTTCCTCAGGGTACAATCACTCTTAGACAACATTAAAAAGAGTACTCGCACTAATGACCAACAATCTTTAGATTTTTACAATGTTTTTTTCTCTTTTATTCTGGAGTGATAACATAAAAGCATTTTACGTTCAGCATTCTGTGAATGGTACCTACAGCCCTGTTACTGTTGTCAGGAAGGATCGTCCAAGTGTACTTTCTGTATCTGATTTCCAATAGAAATATATTAAGCCCATTCTGATTGCAAAAAACCAACTAGAAAATGTCTTCTTCTTCTTCTACTTTTTGTAGATCTTTCGATCTGTTTAATTCTGAAGCTGCCTCTGGTTAATTTCTTGGGAGGTAGATTGCCAACTATCCCTCCATCTTTTAGGTGGTCTCCCGGGGGGTCTTGACTAGAAAATGTAAGATCATTATTAACCTTCATTCCTTTAGTGTATCATCCCTTCTACAATAGTTTACGAGACGATGTCAGTCCTGATGTTGCTGATTAGGTCGCTGAGATGGTTGATTAAATAAGATTTCGGATATTTATTATTAATCTAATAATGTTTGGAGTAATTTTATTAATCTTGTTGTAACTGTAGTTCCATAGGGCATAATACATTGACATATCTAAATTAAACAACAAAAGTTGTTACTGTATTTTACAATAATATTTTTTAAATTCAAAGTCAAATATCTCACTTTTACCTTTTTGAGGCTAAATATAAAAACAATAAAAAGTGCTATTATATTGTTATTGTTAATTATATTCGACATTATTATTAGAAAATAGTATATTACATAACGAGAGTTGTAAGAAGCTTATTACATGCGTAAGAGTAAAAAAGTTGCGCGTGAGCCGCGTAGCGGCGAGCCCAGTAATTTTACAAGCATGTAATAAGCTTACAACTCAAGTTGTGTACTATACTTTTTCTACGATTATTTTCGTTTATAAAAATAAAAATTAAATTACCACTATATTTACACTGACAGATTAAGAAACTTTAATCTGTCAAAATAACGTCTGTTAATTCGTTTCCATGGTAACTCGACCAACTGACTTACGAGGCTTATGTGATATTACACATTTTTATAAAACTAAAGCGTAATTTTTTTTATTACGTGCTAGTCATTACGTGTCAGTATCTGTTATGATGCATTTACTTAGCATCCAAATAGTAGGTAATATACAATTTACTAGTAAGAGAGACGAAAAAAAAGTTAATCATTTAAGAAAAAGTACAGTACCTCATAAAAAATTTGATACCATTTTCAGTAGGCTTGGAAATAACCTTGTTCCAAGTATTTGTAATTAAATATACATCACGCGATGTTAGTCCTGTTACAGGATTGGCATCGTCGATTCTACCTTGGTTAACAAAGAATCCTAAGAAGTAGCTCAATACTGAACCCATGTTTGACTGAATATCTGCAACAAAACTTTTTTATTATTAATAATAAGTAAAAAGCTTTCAAAAAATTGTAACTTATTAGCTTTAGACATAAAGTACATTAACAGAAAATATCATTAGAAATCCTAACGTATTAAGTTACTGTTTTATGGCATTGATATACTAAGTTTACCAATGTGTTGTCTCATTTCTTACACTAGTCCATATCGAGACTCCAAAGCTGAAAACGAACTATTAACTGGATTTTCGTTATCAACGTACGACCGGTTTTCGCATTAAACAGTTAAATGTTTATAATCTGAAGTGATCAGTATATTCAATAGCAATGCAAAATGTAAATAGCCAGCCAATACCAATTCAGTATCCATCAAATCAAATAACTTCTTATCCACCAATGCAGATTCCTATAACACACAGGAAGGTCAACCACAATCAACAATTTACAGGGTTATCCATGAATTTCGAAATTACGAATCACGAAAGATATGGATGTGCAACTAATTTTACAGGGAAAAGCAGAAGGAAAACAGAGTAAGGTGGCAAAATTCGGAAAACTTTATAAAAATTTTAGTTTTATTATCAGTATTCCTCTTTTCTTAAGACTTATGTTATTTATAAGTTTTTCTATGATTTTATTGCACCGTTTTATGCTTCTACTTAATCAATTCTACGCTCAATCAACACGTTTTGGGTTTCTTGGTGCTATTTTCTGGTGCTAATAACAACTACCTGAAGTCACTAATAAATACTGGAAGTCATAAGAAACTGGGATCATTATAGGAGGTTAAAAATTGGGGACAGAAATCACCGGGTGGAGATAAGGTAAGCTAAATAAATCGGAACAATTGCGAATGGTTACTTGGGGGTTTTTTTTAGAGCTGGGCCGTAGATAAGTAAATGATAAGGGAACTGGAGTGGGGTAACCACAAAAATGAAATAAAAGGGGTACTTACATGGACCTCCTGGACAATCACAACACAAGAAGGATCTTAAGCTATTTAAAGTAAGGACGCCGCTTACAAAAATTCTCCTGCTGGATGAAAGAAAGGCTTTTCTTTCTTAACAAATACAAAAAGAGGTTAGAAACTTTAAAAAAATAATAATAACATTTTTTTTGAGACACTTATTGTTGTCCCACCACAAAACTTACTATGTTACTATACGTTTACAAACTCTAGAAGAAGTTGAAGATACTATAAGAACTTACAATTGTTAATGGGTAATAGTTTGTAGCAGAAATAAAATATTACAATAAAAAATATCTTTTTGAAAGGAACTATGCATAGAGGTTAACCTTTTTTCAAAAACAAAACAGAACAAGATCTCAAATTATGATTAGGTATGTGTCAATTGTCAAAAAAATAAAGCTAGCTGTCAGAATAAAGAATAATTATTAGGACAGCTCACCACACCCCTAAAATTTATAATTTTACTTATTACAATTTTTTAACCTGTCATGAAAGCAATTATTAATGGAAAATGCCTATGTTTACTTTAAAAGTTTAACAAAAAAATTTCCTGAACTTCACTAAATGTCATTTTTTTCCTTTAAAGGTTCTGGGGTTAGAATTGGACTCAAATCCACTTCAACATAAACAAATACATAAACAAATTTGCCGGTTTCTTTAGGCTAACCCACGCCGCGTCTTCTCTGACGAAAAACGAAAAAACATTACGAATTAGAAGAAAATTCGGACTAACACCGAAGCCAACTGCCTTTGACAGCGGCCTCACTGAAAGTAATGTAATTATCTTTAAAAGTCATTCGCCCAACTCGGTATAAATAAAGCCCAAACCAATACATTTCTGTTTATTTGACGCGCAAATTATCCTTAAGTGGCTGCCAATCAAAGAATACCGAAGAAATACGCATTTGCAATATATGAACAAACTTTAAAATGTGTTCATTATCAACTCCAGCGTTGCAAAAGGATTGAAAATACTTTTTCGGTGTTTTAACATATACAAGGTGATTTGATTTGCTACAAGCGGAAATATAAAATATTAAAATAAAAATGTAATTGTACCGATAAACTAAATAAATCACGATCATGAGTAGAGGGCTGCTGGAAAATCGATAATTTTTGTTAAATTTCCACTAAGTGTATAGGTACTACAAGAAGAGGTACTCAACAATATAATTTAAACGTGGTAGACTTTGTGATTAGACGAAAAAAAAAAACAAAATGATTACATAGTTTACATGTTTTAAATAAAATAATATAACATAGTGTTTTAAAATGAAAAATACTTACACGATTACTATTCATCCACCAGACGAACGACTAACAATATATTATATTTACTAGAAATTTACTTGAATATTCTTAATTCGGAACTGATACTTCGTAATTATCTTTTTATTTGAACAATTTGTTGATTGATAAGTAATTATGTTAGTCAAACGCTAATATTTAAGTCCCGTGTTGAGTGGAATGCATCACGATTGATGGTTATGCAACAACTATACGTCATTTTACAAACAATGACGAATCTTAAGTTCAATTGTTCAAATAGTAAATTGTGTAATAAAAATGCAGTAAAACATGGTTCTTTATTGAATAATTTATCTTTATATAAAATAGGTATGAATAATTTTAAAAATGTAGTTAGCTTATCTTCTGAAAATTGATGGACATACATTTTAAATACTCATTTTATCTTATCAAATTTGATAAGTAGGTAAAATACATTTCCAATACAGTGATAAAATAGGTATTAAAGTGGTACTTAGTTTTTAATATTTAAATATTCGTAATAATGTTTTTCTTGTTTTCATTTAAAATTGCAATAAATTAAATAAAATAAATTAATTTTAAAATTAAATTAGAAATTTACAATTTATAATTTATATATATATTATATATATATATATATATATATATACATATATATATATATATATATATATATATATATATATATATATATATATATATATATATTGTTATTATATGTAAAATCGAGAAAAATATTGGTTTGAATAAAATATTTCAAAGTTCAAAAACATTAAAATAATTCAGATAAGTAGGATAATAACCAACAAACATTTCGAAGAAGGAAAGTTTTTAAATTTTTGGATTACCTGTATTAAACAAAATGTAAGCTATGCATAAATTATTTCTTTGTTATACTTGAGTGACCCGCATAATTTTAAGTGAAATCCAAAGAAAATTGAACCGGGTTTTCCAAATACATTAATGCAGTGATTAAAAACAATAGAAGAGATTTTAGAAAGAGGTTTTTGTTAGTTTTTAAGAATTGTAGAAAAATATTATTTGTAAATAAGTTTTAGGAAATTTTATAATTATAGGTAAAAAGTTGTTTGTTATCGAAATGAAAAAATTGGGGAATTGTGACGAGCTTTGATTGGCGGAGATTGAAAAAGGTGGGATAGGTATGTAGGAATGAAAGTTTAGCTAGATTTAGGAGAGAGAAAAGATAATCAGTTGGTTTCCAAGGGTGCAAGGCGAACGGCCGTTGTTCTCGGGTAGTTTCCCAGAGATAGGAAGCAGTAGCAGTGAAAGTTTGTGAGTTTTCGTATAGTTAGTGTATCTGACAGAAGCTGACCCAGTAAAATATTGTAAGTCATATTTTTCTACTTATATTCCAAGAGTCACTGTTCAGGCCAACGAGAGATTCAGTTTATCGTAAAGAAAGATATTCCAAGAGTCATTTTTCACTCAGGCCAACGAGAGATTCAGTTTATTGAGAGAAGAAGAAGCTAGCATAATTTGAACGATTCGTGCATTTGAAGGAGATCATTAAGGACGATATACTTGCAATAATTTGTTGTAAGATTGCTGATTACCTAGGGAGCGGCTACGCGTAAATAATATAGTCTACAAATAACAAGGATTTGGACCACTCATCATCAGAGAGAGATAGTTTTGTTTTCTGCAGTTTTTCTTTCATTGATAACACAATTTTTACACTTAATTTAGAAAGGATATAAATATTTTGATTAGGAGATTTAGAATAATATTTGGATTTTGAGATTTCAACTAATATTGTTTGTACCATTAATTTTGAAGGTTCACGTACGTAGAACAAAATTTTGAGAATCATTGTATGAGCTTTTGTTGATTGAAAACATTTGAGTGTGAATTATTTCATTATTTTTATTTCAATATATAGTGTTATATCATATGTGTTTTTTATTATTCCGGTATTCTTTGGACCTTATCTTTCACATGTAATAGCATAGATATTGAAGCACGAATTTAACCCTGAGATAAGAGAATTAAAAAGTGTGATAGAGTCATAATCATATCATTTAAATAATTTTAATTAATTAATTAATTAATTAGCTAATTAATTGCTTGGCGCACCACGACTTTAAATATCACAATAATATATATATATATATATATATATATAATATATATATATATATATATATATATATATATATGTATATATATATATATATATATATATATATATATATAGATATATATATTTGTTTTTATTTAAACAAATATAACCGCATCAACCACTAAGGGTTATTAGCGGGGGGCATACACAAACAGTAAGATACATATTGTGACATAAAAAAATATTTTTTACAATCTGGTATACAGTTTAATCATTTTAAGATAAGTAAAGATTGTAAATTTGACGTTAATACACTTTTTAAATTGTTCATAAGGGCACATGCCAGTCTTTCGTTCTGGTACACTGGACACTCAACAATTATATGTTTTACTGACAACTGAGTGTGGCACTTGGTATACATCAGAGCAACCTCCTGTTGAAGATATGCTTGTGTGTAAGGAAAGTATATTCTATTCGGAGTCGGTTGATGATGACTTGATCTTTTCTATTATTCGGTAAGATGAGTTTGGTCCCTACTTGACTTAGACATTCTTTGTTTGTTATCAGTGTCATCCCAAGTAATTTGCCACGCTCTGTACATGTGGGCTTTGATATTTACTTTGTGATCAGTCCAAGGCATTTGATTTATGATAGCAATACTTTGGTCGGTGGTTGCATTGCTTGCCAGAGAGTCCACTTCCTCATTACCACTTATTCCCATATGGAAAGGTACCCAGATAAAGGAAATATCTTTTTGTTGAGTCTGTAGATAAGATAACTCTTCTTTGATCTTGAGAAGTATGGCGTGAGTTGTATATAGCTGTTTTATTCCAAGTAATGCGCTCATTGAATCGGTGATGATAACAAATTTGCTTTCATTGATAAAACCTCATTTTTTCATGGCCTGGTGAATTGCCGTAAGTTCTCCGGTATATATACAACAATTCGTTGGGATTCATACGGTAGACTTGACGTTTTCGTAGATGTAGGCTGCAGCATCTCCTTCATGACATTTGGAAGCATCAGTGAAGATTTGATGGGTTGTTGGGTATTTAGATATTACATTTTTATAAGCTTGCTGTATAAGGAAAGAATGTGTGGAATGTTTCGGGAGTTTTTTTAGAGACGTGTCTATTTTTGGATGTTTGATCATCCAAGGAGGAACATTTACATGAATAGGTATAGTAAGACTGAACTGTTCTAAATTAAGACCAATACGGTTAATTCGTTCAGGAAATGGTAGTTTTTTTATTGCAATGTTTCTGTAAAGATCGGACGATATGTTCTGCAAAGTATTGTTGAGTAGGTTAAGTTGCTGTTGTTTGCTGAAATTCTGGCAATGCAATTTAGTGATAGGAGTTGCCTTCGTTGGCTTAAGGACAGTTCATGAGGGATTTTCCTGGCGCCCAATCAGATCTTAGAGCAAATTCCATAGTTTATCACTTTTATATATACTATTTCTATATTTTTTTATTACTTTGTTAATCATTTTCTCATTTTAAGGTTTCTGGAGGGCATGCAAATCCTCTTTTGAGTGTCAAATAGTTACTCTCCGGCATATTCTGCTAGCCAGCCTTAATTTATTTGTTTTTTGTTAAATTGGCGTCCAACGCCCCCATTCACACACTTTTTGTTATATTCCGCGTAACAGAGTATTTTTATTTCTTTGTTTAGCATTTTGTATCCTTTTCCTTTGTTAAGGCTTTTATGATTTCATCCACGATCAAATTGAAGAGCATGGGACTCAATGAATCCACTCGAATTATTCCGCTATCTATTTATATAGGTTCTGTAAGCTTTCCATCTATTCTGACTTCCATTTTGTTGTTTGGTAGATGTTTTCAATAGTTTTTATAATATTATGGGAAACTTCTCTATGATACAGAAGATTTGACTTTTGACTCTTACTCTATCAAACGCTTTCTTTAGGTCAATCAGACACAGAAATGCTGGTCTATTATACTTTAGTGATTTCTCAGTAATTAGCCAAAAGATGGAGTAACAACCTTCCTTAGAGGCATTAATCCGCCAATAAACAAACAGAATTGCTTATCAAGAGGATGAAGACGACATCTAATGTACATCCTCAGCACTAAAATAGACTTCCGAGGGACATCCCAAAAGTCTATCAAGTAAATCTTCCAGCGTATATCTTATGGACGTTCGATGAAGGTTCATGTATCGTCGCTGAACGTCCACCGAAGTCTAACGTGTGTTATAACGTTCTTAGACGTTTGGAACTGCGACATTTCGACCAAAATAAGAAGTAAAAAAGACGTCCTTAGTACTAAAACAGACGATTGCGTGGTATTAGGGAGGTATTTACACAAGAAGATTGTATTAAATAAATTTGCTCGAAAAAGATTGTTGGAGAACTTTTTCCAAACTCAAATATCACTGTCAACACTGGAGGACACAACTACATTTTTTTTTTGAACCTATTCTCTATCCTTCCATTGTTGGATATAGGTTTCCCCCAGTTCTCTCCATCTTTCCCTATCTTGAGCTGTTCTCTGCCTTGTGGGACCTCCTTGTTTCCTGATGTCATCTTTCCACCTCATCTGTGGTCTGCCTCTTGATCTCTTTGCATTGTATGGACGCCACTTTCCGATGGCATTGTTCCATCGTCCGTCTTGGAGACGTTCATTGTGTCCAGCCCATTTCCATTTCAGTTTTGCTGCTTGTTCTATCGCGTCTAACTGTCTTTGTTCTGGTTTCTGATCCACTGGTTACGTTTTCTATCTCTAAGTGATACACCCAACATTTGTCTCTCCATCGCTCTTTGTGCCTTCCTTACCCTATCCAAATTGGCCTGTGTAAATGTCCATGTCTGTGCTCCGTAGGTGAGCACCGGTATGATACAGGAGTTATATACCTTGCTTCGTAAGTATAGAGGGATCGTTTGATTTTTTAGAACGTAAGAAAGTTTGCCGAACGCTGCCCATCCCATTCTTACTCGTCTCGATATTTCGGCTGTTCGATTTTCTCTATTAGCTCTGATTGCTTGTCCTAGATAGATATACTCATTTACCTGTTCTATTTTTTCTGTTTTTATTTTTATTGCCTCTTGGTCTTCCGTGTTTGTCATTACTTTTGTTTTGTTGAAGTTAATTTTTAGGCCTTTTTTTAGGCCTTTCACAACTAAATAACAAATGAAAATGACATAAATCCTGCGAGGGTCGTAGTAGCAGATGATTGGTAATAATTGACAAATTTAATATTTATTTAAAATTGTATTTATTTTCATAAAACATAACTTTACATTATAAATGCAAACATATAAAACTTATTACTAAATAAACGTGACAAAACAAATAAAAAATTGTGCATTTTAGGGTCGTTTTTATATAAACTCTTTAAGTTTATTGTTGCTTATTAAAAAATAATAAAGAGAAACGGAGTTTTCTGCAGCCTTTATTCATTGCAGTAAATGAATTGTTAGTAGGAATATAGATATTCCTTAGTCAAAGAAAAACATCACAACTTTGATATGTAAAGTACAAGCAAGGGCAATGATTATTTATTTGTTTATTTACTTAAAAATATGTGACAGAACGAGGTAAGGATAGTTCCCAAAAAACAAAATTAAAGACAGTATGATTACTTATTAAGTGTATGATCTGTTCATATAGATGGCGACACTAACAGCAAAGAAGTAAAAAATAAAAGCAGATTTGTACTCCTTTCCAGTATATAACAACAAAAAAAAAAGATTAAAACACATCGGCAGGAGAAGGTTGAAGGAATTTGATTCCTTAAGTTAAGATTCTAAGTAAAGAGAGTGGACAAACCACAGGCCAATTGGTAGATGTTAAGCCTTTGTTGGACATTGTGAATATGTTGGACTGTATGCAGCATTTGTTGGTCTCAACTAATTTTTTGGACGAAAACACCCTGACCACATATCCTGAATGTGATAGGAATTATTTTTTTTTGTAGTTAGTATCAAATTTGGACACCACGTGACATTCAGTGGAGCTAGTGGAGACGAAATGGGAAAACACCTTTTAGAACCAGATCATATTTTCGCATAATATCAATAATGTCGCTTTTGGAATTCTCCCTAAGAATTGCAAAAAATTGTATCTGATTTTTTTGTGTAAATTTTTTTATGACAATACATAAAAACACTATAAAAAAAAGTAAAACACAGAACAAAACAAGTTTGAAATTAATATTACTAATAATTTCAAAAAGGTAAGACCCTTTATTATAAAAAAAATAGTAAAATTGAACGTTAGATTTAAAATCGCATAAAAATTAAAAATCTAAATATTACGATTCTATAATTTTGTTATAGATAAGCATCAATTAAAATTTTTAATTGCATAAAATCTGATAACGATTTATCAACGAAACAGTTAAAATTATTTAAGATTGTCAGCAATCACTTTAAAAATAACATTTAAAGCTTTATTCCATGAGTTTATTTCATTGGTTTTCATAAACGTGGAAAACAATTCGACCATTGTCTCCTGAAGTCCCTGAAACAAATAAAAATATTAAAATAACGGCCTTAACTTATATGTAAATGTCAATGTCAAGACATAAATGAACAATAAACGTAAAATATAAATGAAACAGACCCCTCAATACGGAGTCTAGGAAATTAATAATTGCCGAACAATTTCAAAACAAACAACTTTAAAACTCACTACAGTGGTTTACAACTTGTTGATACCTTTAACAAAACGTTTCAATTACTCTGTTACCCCAAGTCACATTCCAATTAAGACACATCTGTCGGTCAAATCAAAATCTAGCTATTCTTTCCGCCGATAAAGAAATGCCACCGTTATCCTAAACACTTCTTACATTAATAGACTCTAAAATCTCATTAATACTTCAGACTGCAGACCAATTCCTAATAATCCAACAATCTATCTAGAGAAAACAATAAAAACCATCATCAATAAAAGCTCTCCTTCTGTCGACATAAAACAATCCCCAATTCCTCGTGATAAGCTTCCCAGAATGATTGATACTTATATTGATCTTCTTCTTCTTAACGTGCCCTATCAAATCCCTTGACGTTGGCGATTACCATGTCGAAACTCTCTCTGTCTCGAGCTATTCTAAAGAGTTGCTCAGCTTTCGTCCTTTCGCGTCCTTCGATTTTACCCATCATAATAAGTTAAAGAATATTATATCGGTCTCCCCTTACTACTTATCCAAAATAGGCCATCTTTCAACATTTGATGTTGTCAAGCAGCTCGCGAGCAGCATTTGCTCTCTCAAGGACTGCCGCATTTGTCAGCATAGCCGTCCATGGAATTTTTAGTATATGTCTGTTCAGCCACATTTCAAAGGCCTCCAGACGATTAATGGTGGATATTTTTAATGTCCATGCTTCGACACCGTATAAGAGGACTGACCAAATGTAGCATTTAACCATGCGGTTTCGAAGTTGAAGTTGCAAGTTATCATTACAGAAGAATGTCGTGCGGGCTATCTCGATTCTACATGTTATCTCTTGATCTGGATCTTGTTGTTTAGTAATATGGCAACCAAGATAATTAAAACTGGACACTGTTTGAATTATACGACCATCAACATATAATCGTGCATCTTGATGTGCTAAACGGCTAAACACCATGTGTTTTGTTTTTGAACAGTTTATGTTTAGGCCAAACTCTCTTCCCATTGTATCAATGGCATTTAAAAGGCATTGTAGTTCATTTATGTCATCACTTAAAATAACTGTATCGTCTGCATTTCTGATTGTATTTATCAGAATTCCATTAACTTTCACGCCCCATTCCAAATTATGCAGCGCTTCTTTAAATATTCTATCTGAATATAAATTAAATAACAGTGGGGATAGTTTACAACCCTGTCTGAAACCTCTTTGTATTTTACATATTTTCGTTGATTTTCCGTTTATGCAAGCTGTCGCTGTTTGACGCCAGTATAACTTTTCTATGAATCGTATGTCTTGACTATCAACTCCTTTATCTTTTAATATTGTAATTAATTTGTGATGCTGTACTCTATCAAAGGCCTTTTCATAGTCAATAAATACAGCAAAGACGTCTTTCCTTTGATCTCGACATTTCTGCACTAACACATTTAGTGCAAAGAGGGCGTCCCGAGTTCCCAGTCCATTTCTGAAGCCAAATTGTGTTTCATCCTGGTCTTCTTCACATTTATCTCTGATTCTACTGTGGATGATGTGTAGAAATATTTTCAAAGTGTGGCTCATAAGGCTTATCATTCTATAGTCGCTACAATTTTTCGGACGTTATTTTTTGGTAGTATTATGAATTTGGACTTTAACCAATCTTCAGGGATATCACCAGTCGAATAAACATCATTGAAAAGCTTAACCAGTATTCCAATGTTCTCCTCATTTATAAGCTTTAACATATCTGTCGGTATGTTATTAGGGCCAACGGCTTTCTTGTTCTTTGCTAACTTTATAGCATGCAGTATTTCTGATTTTAGTATTTCTGGTCTTTCACTTTCAACTAAAGTCTCGAGTTCTTCGGGTCTATCATCATTATGCAGTTCACTTATATAATTACACCAGTTGTTCGAATTTCATGTTCGTCTATTATCATTTTTCCCGACGAATCAGTTATAGTATGTGGAGTTTTCTTATGATAAAGACCAGCTACTTCTCTAACTTTTTTAAACATATTAAACGTATCATGTTTTTCATTCAACTTTTCTATTTCCTTGCAATTATCCTAAATCCATTTTTCTTTAGCTACCTTTGTTTTTTGTTTAATTAGTTTAAACTTTAATCTTTTAGTTTTTTAATTTGTTTAATCTTTTTAGAAACTAATTAAACTTATATTGATACTTATATGTAAACGATATAACTTTATGGAGAAATGTAATAAGTAAAGATCTTATTTTATTGGAATAAAGGCAAAGAAAATATTGATAATAAATGAAATATTAAGCGGGACCGTTTTATAATTTAAAATATACAAAGCTACTTATGACATCAATAATATTTACTTACTTCAAAATATTTTTGGGGAATGCTTCGCCTCTTATGATCCCTGCCAACTTTTTCGAGTATGCCTACAAGTAATGACGTGTCATCTATGGCATCTACCATGGAAGAAACGGCATAAACAACGCTGTTGCAATGAGCCCTAAACCTAACATTTTTTGCTAGTTCGTCATTTGGTATGTCTTTAAAAGGAAAGACAGTTTTTGTCTCCGGGAAATTTTTAAACAATCTGAAACAAGAATATTATGATGTAAAAAATAAGATAAAATTCTATTACTACTAGATAATAGTCATTTTTATATCCCACATTTAACCTTGCTAATATCAGGGGTAGTTACTTTTGCCTATGCTTGCCTATTTGTTAATATTTTTGTTTCTGGTATACGTGCGAGGTTATCATCGTAGCACATTGTTTTTTATAAACTTAAAAAGCAACATCTACAAGAACAAATCCCCAATCTATTTATTATTTCTAAAAATAAAGACATTACTGTAAAAATGGTACGAGTATTGCATGTGGGGCAAAAAATCGAAGAAAGAAAGATTGGTTTTATTGATATCTGAAATAATAATTTTAAATTTCCACTGACATTATCATAAACCTAATTGTAACTAAGGTGTACTTATTTTAATAACAGTGTATAGAACTGAAATTGGGAATTTTAAAGTTTTTCTAGACCTATTTGAAAAGGTATTGGTGTTTTGCTCTGCTAATTTTTTAGAAATAATAATAATTGGAGATTTCAACATTGATTTCAAAAAAGCTTTTGATAAACTAAACAGTTTCCATGATCTAATTTCTACTTTTGGCTTAACCAATAATATTAATGAATTTACTAGAATCACAACTAGATCTACAACTTCTACAATGTCTGAATAACATCGTAACAAACATAAGCAGTAAAATAGTTGGTTGTGGAATTGTGGACCCATATATTTCTGATCATCTAGCTTAATATTTCCTCTTCTTTTTCTTCTTCGGCTTTTCCCATTATGCTACACAACACTCTATGCTCCCAGTCGCCTTCTCTGAGGTCTCTATCTATCATATATATGTGGTCTTGCACATATTTATCTTGAGTCCCCAAAGTTCATATTCTTCCTTTAATTTCCTTATCATATATTCCATAATATTCCATGTAATATATAATATTCTCTTGTACTGGTATGCCCATTGTTCCGCATTTTCTATACCATCTTTCAAAGCCTGATCTATATACATGTTAAAAGGTGTAGGTGAGAGACCACATCCCTGTTTGAGGCCTTTTGTTGCGGTGATTGTGTTTGTAATTTCATTACCTAACTTTATTTGCACTTGTGTTTCTTTATACAGTCTTTGTGTTACATTCATCCATTTCTCTCTAACGCGCATTCTTCTCATTGCTCCCCATAGTTGTTTCTTGGGCACGCTATCGTATGCTTTCTCTAAGTCGATAAAGGTCATATGTGTTTCAATGTTTTTTTTTTGTTCTTTTCAATCACCTGTCTCATAATGAATATACCTATTATCTAAACATGATCTGGCTTTTGGAATCCGGCTTGTTCTTCGTTATAATGATCCATGTGTTGTTCTAGCTTTTCTTTTATAACTGATAAAAAGATTCTTGCTATTGAAGGCATTACAGAGATCCCTTTGTAGTTATTTGGTGACCTTTTGTCACCTTTTTTGAAAATGGAAGACATGTACGATAAATTCCACTCATCGGGAATCTTCTCTCCTGCTTCGATTTTATTGAATAACATTCGTAAAAAGGATACTATCTTTGCGCCTCCATATTTCAGCAGTTCCATTTTTATGTTCCCTGGTCCTGGTGCGTTATTTTTTTTTGTATTTCTTTAGTGCTTTATTTATATCTTTCTCTGTAATTTCTACTTCCTCAGTTATTGTTGTCACAGGGTCGTATGAAATATACTCCGGCCTATTCTCCTGCAATAATTTTGTGTAATGCTTTGTCCACTCTTTTGATGTAATTATCTGTATGGTATTTTTACTTCGTTTATTACTTTTGATGTTTTTTTATTTTTTCCATGCTTCCGTTGATGTGTTATACCCTATCGTGTTGTCTATGTCTCTGCACATTCTCTCTCAGTATTCGTTTTTCTCGAGCTTTATTCTTTGTTTAACTTGTTTTTTGAGGGTAACATATTCTCCCCGTGTTCCTGTGGTTCTGTCCTTTAGCCATTTATGAAATACATTTTTTTTCTTTTAATCATCTCTTCTCAGTCGTCACTGTATTTATCCAAAAGGATAAGTCTCTTCTCCTACTTAAGTGTAGGAGGTGAAATTACCATCCAGTTTTAAAAAATATCTCGGTGTTTAAAAGTCTTTAAGGTTAAAAGATAATCCTTAAAAGTTTGGAAACCTATACCACCATGCACTTGATTATGTACAGTTCTAAAACAGTTAAATAAACAAATCAAACCCAGTAAAGCTATTAAAATGGTAGTTAAATTATTTCCGATTAACACAGTTGATTTTTTGGTAAACACATTTGCACACTATTTTATTGCAAGAATTTAAAATCAAGGTTATTAAAAAAAGTTTAAATATGTAAGAATAACTAATTTACTCTTTATATAGTTGGCCTTGACTGTTATTTTTGTTCACTCTTGATATGTTCCTACCTATTTATTCCACCACTAATACTTCATATTTTATTTTGCTGATAGCACAGACATATTTAATATTTGATTTATATGTAATTTTGTATACGAGTTTTTCGTTTTACCCGTTATTTACTGATATTTTCTTAATGCTATAATAATGATGTAACACTAGTTACGACGAGAAAACAATAAAAAACTTTAAACCAAAAGCTACATCGTAAAGTCCTATAATTGGTTTTTCTAGCACTACAGAAAAAACTTAGTACCTTCTGCTCGATTACAGGCATAATATAAATTAAAATAGCCAAACACACAAAAAGTAAGGGAAACACCAGCTTTCAGAACAAACAACAACTTAAGCAAATATATTAAGAACTACAAGGGCCAAAAGAAACAGCCATTACTCAGAGATGTATACAAACTTACATGTAGTCACTGCCCAAAAACTTACATCGGTCAAACTAGTAGAAATTTTAACAAACGAATAGCAGAACATAAAAGGGATTTCAATAATAGAAAAATTAAAGAAATTGATAAATTCAAAAATACAGATATAATTCTGAATGACCAACTCGAGACAAACAGCTCGTCCCTTCTCAACTTATTCAGTTAAACACTATACAGTGTAAACCAATAAAAAAATAGATCACTTGATAAAAACACTCTGTCAAAACAGCTGATAATAATATATGTGATAATAAATTGTAAGAAATTTGGTGGAATTGTTGAAACCAGAAGTTTTCAGTGTTTTATGCTTACATAAAATGATCTTCCATCAAGTAACTGTCAAATCCAACACTTCTTTATATTTATTGTGTTTATATCAGATTTCTTGTCGAACTTCAGACTTTTAAGCTATAGTTATACAGAAGGATCCTGAAGATACCACGGACAGACAAAGTTACCAATGTAGAAATCCTGCGGAGGATGAACACAACCGTGGATTTGGTCAACATCGTAAAGATCCTTAAGCTGCAGTACTTGGGACATATAATGAGAAATCAAGGCAGATACGAGCTACTTCAATGCATTTTGCAAGGTAAAAGAAAGAAGAAAAAATGGCCTCAGGACGAAGAAGAATATCATGGCTTGCTAACCTGAGAGCATTGTATAGAAAGACCTTAACACAGCTATTTCGTATAGAAACCAACAAAGTAATCATAGCCAGAATGATCGCCAACGTTACGAACGGACAGGAACCCTAAGAAGGAGGAGATCAGTTTTTTTCTCGAGCCGCTTTACTCTCTTTAAACATTCTATACAGTACCAGATTGTGGTCTGTGGAGACCTTGGCACCAGGGTACGTTTTTGGTGCCTTTAACATGTGTTTGTATCTTGTTGGTATCTAATTTCTTATGACGTTCCCATGTGAGTCAGCTTGTGTGTACATCAATCGGTTGGAGAATTTGAACAGTGTGTTACTTAACAACAATTTATACTGCTGATCAAAGCAATTAAGTATATTATATATATCGTTTCTTTCACCAAGGCTGAAGTTTCCCTCAATCTCATTCACCTTACCTCCGCCATCCTTTGCATTAAAATCCCCCATCGCTAACGTTGCTTTTCCAGTTGGTTTTAGATTTCCTTGTTCACCTTCCCGCTTCATCTTTTTTTTTGTTAGCGCAGTTATCTGTAGTACGTTAATTTTCAACGCTACTGATTGAATTTGTAAAAGCATCATTATATCTGTAAAGTGAATTAAAGATGTCACTACTAGATTAGTATGTGGGGCAACTCATATTGCCGGTGTCATTTATGTGATATGTTGTGTTGTTTCTGGCGTTATCCAAATATATCGCATTTATTATTCCATTCCATTTATTATATCCAATCTGTTTATTATTAATCTTTTCATCTCACTTACAACGATATGGATAGTTCTCACTTACATTGTAGCATTTTTAAATTCATAAATATTACTGTACTTTTAAAATCGGACCAAAATAGACCTAAGGCCTAATATACAAAGAAGATAAAATAGTTTTCATTTACGCGTACAAGAACCATGATCCACGATTTGACTCAATGGTTCAACTACATAATTTTTTGCAGAACAGTTTTATAAAATAATTATGTCATACTTACAAAAGAAGTAAAGCTACTCCATTGTCCGTCGGGCTTTTCATTACACCAGCCCATGATGTTTTTATTAAATATTTATCTCTGGAGGTCAGCCCCGTCGTCGAGTCAGCATCGTCTGTCCTTCCTGTATTGGTGACTCCAAAGGCACTCCAAATAATACCCATTGTTATTAAAGCTAAAAAAAATTAAATTAGTAATAATTAAAAAAATAAATAAAAAGCTGTAAATAATATACTTTTGTCAAGAAATATCTAAAATGTTCTTATATATTTTCACATATTAGCAAGATGCCGTCTAAAAGATATATGACATTTTTTGGATGTGACTTGTCCCAAAGAGCTTACACAAAATAATATGAAAATGAAAAATCCGCCTTAACTTCCTTTTAGATACGAGAAAATAATTTATAGAACAACATGCCACAGCCAAACAGATTTGTTGAAGAAAACTAAAAATACTGAGACCCTCACAATTGTTCGAATAATTTTGAATTTTTCAGATCTAAAACTCCCGACAATGAAAGAGATGTCCCCAAAACGTTGTGTCGTATGTTCCTAAAATGAAAAAAGGAAAGCCAGCAGGTGTTATTGTATTGATTATCATACTGGACTTTGTCCAACGCCTTCCTTTACAATATATCACACAACAAATTGTCAGAGCATATTTTTATAATTGTCAAATTATATTCTAATTATCACTTTTTTTTTCTTGACAGTTTTACATTATTAATAAATATTATTCATTAGGGCAATTACTTTACCACTATGACTAAAAAAGACGATTTTTTTATGTAATGCGTTTGGAACGTAGCACCATTTTGTTTAATCAACATATTCTGGCTGTCCATGTCATTCAATTCGGGCCAAAATAAATAAGTAATCATTGACCTTGAGCTATCTCCATTGATATGACAGTGATGGCCTGGCTAAGGTTGTTCTCAAATAAATATACACTGATGACGCCATCTGTTCAAAATCCATACCAACCAATAATTTTTTTGGAATGCATTAGATATTTTTGGATCCGGATTGGTTTCGTTCCAAATTGGATAATTTTGTTTGTGGTCATAACCATTCTGTCGAAAATGGGCTGACCAACGCGAAACCTGTAGGATGAATAACATTGATCCTACCTGAAAGATATGACAACGCTAGAAATTTAGAGATATACACAGTATATTAAACTTTTTAGTCTTTTTAAACAAATATTATTTGAAAAGTAAATCATATCTTTTAAAATAATTATTTATTTGTTCTTTTAGTTATCAAATAAGATAATACGAACTAGAACTTATTAGGTATTGAGGAAGAATTATAATCTCGAATTGTGTGAGTATAAAAGTACATACTGACAAAATATTTCAATGAACTTTTCTATTTGCATTACAATTTGAACCAAGCTTGCTGCATTTGCTTCCCTCCTCCTGAAAAAGCAACGAATATAATAGAAATGGGTTTCTAGATTTATTATTAGCGATATGTCGATTTTCATAAAGCAAACAAAAATACTTTTGTTTTTTAGCACTAACTTTTTATTTCAAGAATATTTGTATATTTATAAATTATGTATATATAAAGTAAGTCTACTATTTACATAAAGAAGTTTAAATAATCAGTTTCATCTGAAATAAAAAATCTGATAAATAGTTAGCTTTCCTATATTTTTTGTAAAACTATCTATAGTTGGAGTCACGAGAAGATTTTAGCATTGGCTCTTACAGACAATGTAAATCAAATGAAAGATGGCGCTGCGCAGTTGTGAGTTCATCGTCAGACTGGCTTCACATGTGAGTAAAACGATAGTGGGTAGATATACTATTTGCATTCGAACCTAATAGGTTAAGAGTCACCATATTGAAAATTTGTAATAATGTTTCCATTGGCCGATTACTTTTTTTGTAAGTATTTCTATTGCTTTCTTTAACTTTCAAATCAAAATCTAATTCTCTAAAATATGCAAATTTCGTGGTCACCAGCAAAATTTTTATCACAAAATGCCTATGAGAGATGAACGTGGCATCACGCCTTGACTTGTCTAATCCTGTTGATAACATGTCGGCAAAACTAACAAGCGTGGGTAGAATGGTTCAATTCAGTCATATGAAAACGAGCAACAAAAATATTTAATAATAAATAAAGAATCGGATGAACTTGGCGACACATATCTTTCAGAAGAGTACCAACCAACTGATCCTAGTAACAGTGAACATAAATCGGGTAGTCCGAAGCAGAATAAAATAAGAAAACATGTGGCCGGAAATAACAAACCGTTGGGACAAGATGTATCGGCATCCACCAGTAAAGAAAAAGAATATACGAATTTTGGATGAACATGTTAATGCTGCTATAGAATCTGTTATTGTTCCACATTCTGAAGACTCCGAACAGGAAAGAACCAATAGTATCCAATGCAATGAATGAAGCTATTGTCCGGAGGCTGGTCAACAGCGAAAATTTACAGAAATTTACATTTAAGGACTACAATTCGGCAGGTTTTCATACACAATTATACGAAAACTTCTCTTTTATTCCATGATTGGTAAATATATAAATTATTTTGTTTAACTGATTTTATTTTTTTTAGGTCATAGAAACAAATAGTTATGCCCTGCAGTGTCAGGTAAGAAATTAGAAAAAAAGCGCACGCATTACCGTGTGGTATAACACTGATGTCGCCGAAATAAATCGATCTTTACTGGTCATTCGTCCTGGTCAAAGAATTCTCTTCATGTGAATAATGTCAAAAAGTAATGTTAAGGAATCGCTTCCAGTTATTGTGAAAAACGCTGTATTTCAACGTTAATTCGGTAACAAAAGACGACCGTTTGCAGAAAATTGTTCCCTTAGTTAGCAGACTGAAGGATAAATTGAAGGCTGTCATCGTTACAAAAAAAAACGTGTGCATTGACGAAACTTTAGTGCCTTTTGAAGGGCAACTAAATTTCAAGCAATATACTGTCAACAAGAGGCATAAATTTGGGATAAAATTTACCAAACTTTGTCTCGAAGGTAGCACCGTACCAACAAATGTAGTGTTGAGTCCTATGGCTGGACTGCTTGACAAAGGAAGAACATTTGCGATTGATAACTATCACAGTTGTGTCACATTTGCACATGTACTCCTACACCGAAAAACTTAGATGATTGTTACGCCACATGCAAACCACAAATATAATCCTAAAAAAAATCATTTCCAAAAAATTAAAAGTAGACGAACATGTAGCTGAACAAAGCGAGGTGTGCTGATGATTATTATCAAATTTGCTGACGAAATGATGATAATGCAGAAGGCCATAAATCTTATAAATGCCATGTCGGACATCATAATGAAATCATGACGATTACTAAATTCAAGGAAGAGGTAATTCAGCGCCTATTAGAAGATTTCGTTATCACACCAGTCATTATGAAACATAGTCAGATAAATGCATAACTTAGAACACTAAATAACATTCTGCAAAATTTATGCGGTACCATAGAGGATGGGGTTCCTCAGCGTCTACATTTGTTGACACCAAACTAAACTAACCTTTACGTATTATATCGGGGACAATAAAGGCCACATCAACATACTGGCTACCTGCACTAAACCACATAGCCTCTTTACACTCTCGCCGAGAATATGGCCTCGCCTTGACTTCGTTCAAGAAACAACTCTCTGGATTCTGCAAGAAGTCTAATTAAAAGAATCTTTTAGATAACTGTCCGTTGCCGAGAAGATTGGAAAAAGAATTCACCACCTGACACCAGAAATATGCTATGTATCACAAGCAAGTTAACGAGTTTCGGCCAACCAATAAGAATCTGGGTCACACTAAACAGAATCAGAACAAACTCTGGCAGGTGCTCCGACTCAGTTTTTAACCTTAGTGGCAATCCGTCTGATTTCTTAGTTGCGACCAAAAACTCAATTTAATATATCTTCCAGCTTAATGTTTGTTTGTTAAAATTAGTTATTATTATTTACTCTTAATAATGTATCGTGTATACAAAACTTAATTGTGATATACGCTAATTAAAAAAATAAATTCAATGTACAAGGTTCAAGGTATCAAATGAAGAAAATATATTTTTACATCCACTGGTTTTAAACATAAATATTTAATCAAACTTACCGTTCTCAGAAATGATCACTTAATACTGCAGATACTCACATAACTGATTTACAAAATTTGACACAAAGATTTATCAACTAAATTGTTGATAAATAATTAAATGCGGAAAAGAAAGGTTATCAAAAATTAAGTCAATATTAATATTAATAAAGATAACAAATGTATTATTAGGCGGTGATATAAAATAAGTACTTTATTTAAATGAAAGAATTACATTGCTTACAAAACATGCATCTCAAAGTACATTATAAAAGAGATAAATATCCAAAAGAAACTTAAACATGCGTTAAAAAAATAGCTAAAGTATTTGATTTCAACATGTTTTATTTATCTTCCGGGTTTGGACCGTGTCATTTGTGAGTGACCCAAAAGTGGGGATTCACTCCCCGCCTCTCGACGCGTTAGTGTTCTGAGCTGTTGGACGTGAATCCCTGTCCTGGCATTTGGTTTTCACCTTTGGCTGCGTTAAGTAGTTGAGTTACTGTGACCAAATGCCCATCTTGGTAGATAGTATTCGCCTCTGGTTGCGTTGAGTAACTGAGTTACCGTTGCTAACTACCCATCTTCCTGTCTTTTGATTTCTTTTTCTTTGTTCTCCTGAAGAAGCTACATACAATTGTAGCGGAACGTCGAGATGAACCCACTTTTAGGTCACTCACAAATGACACGGTCCAAACCCGGAAGACGAATAAACTATAATTCTGACTCTGGCCGTGGAAGCCTACGATTTCATATGTTTTATTCAGTAAACTAGTCAAGCAATACACTATAAATTAAACATAATGTTTAGTTAATAAGATGTTTTAGGGTGTGAAAAAAGAAGAGCGGCGGTTGAATATTTTGCAAAGAAACATCGTATCAAAAACAAGAAAAACGCATCTATATTTTTCAAAAATCTATTGAATGAAAGATGACCTTCAATGGTTGAGAGGTGCTAAGAATCTTCGCGAGGAGGAGCCACCCTAATGGGGCAACTAACTATATAGAGAACAAATCCTTTTTAAATTTCAGGACATGGAATGTGAGGAGTTTGTTCGAACAAGGAAAGACGCACAACACGA